GGGTCTGGACCTTTCTGAAGAAGGGTCCAGACCCGAAACGTCAGCTTTCCTGCTCCTCGTCTGCTGTGTTCATCCAGCTCTACACCTTGTTATCTCAGATTCTCCAAGCATCGGCAGTTCCCACTATCTCTGCAAAAGAACTACCTTCTCTTTGATTGGAAAGTTCCAGTCATTAAGTTTCCCTTTATAGTACAAGTAAAACTGGAATTCACTACGAAAAAGTTGAGCAACACCCCTACATGTTTTAGGAGAGTTCAACTGATTTGTTATATCATTCATGTCTTGTTTAATCTTGAAAACATTGTACATTTGATACAGAAAGGATATTACATGATCAAGCAGTTAAACTATTTTATTTATTCTTGTTGAATAAGGAATTACATTCAAGCTCCGATTTGTGCTCTTCACTAAACTATTCTCAAGAAAGGTGATAAATTTTAGTGAAAAAATACCAGTTGCTAACTAGTTCTGGAAGTGTTCCTGATGTGTGCCACTCCAGTTCCATTTCCACCAGAACCGACAGATTTGGATCTCCTTCATATTTCCGTGGTTTACCAAAAAATGCAGCTGGATTTTATAAACCAAAACTGAAAACCCCAATGGACATAAAACAAGTGCAGGCCAATTTTATCAAGGTGGATTAGCATAGTGGTTATGTTACAAGTAGGTTAAAACAGATACTTCATTGTGGATACTAAATGCTAAGCCAACAACATCCACGCTGCCTTCATCGTATACATCATTCAGATGCCAGTGTACATACCAAGACCTTCTGTACAGTAAAGCGACCACCGAGTCACAAGCCCTGGGTGTCCGTGCAGGTTGGATTGTAAGTGAAATACGAAAATGGGACACATTAACACCAACAACTAGGAGACCACTGGGACTAACTATTTGGAGGGGCATTGGTAGAGGGAAGCAGAAACAAAAAGTTCAGCTGGCCAAGGAGGTAGCCCAGAGAAAAACAGAGGCTAGCACATCATGCAACTTCTCAGCCCAGCGTCAAGCTCTGCTGCACGTGGCAGAGACTGCCACATCGGAGGTGGACTCCTGAAATTCACCATGTGATGCTCAACAAACAGTTGACCACCAAGTGATCACCTCACAAGACAGAAGGCTACCATTAATCGAGATACCTGGATAAATAATGAAGGGTTTGAGAATGTGAATTTAAATTAAAAATAAAAAAGCTAGCAACAGTTGATGAAGTTATCAGACTTTTTGTTATTCACCTGTGAGACATGTGAGTCACTGGCTGGGCCCCATCCCTAGTTGTCCTTGACAAGGTGCAGGGCTGGATGAACACAGCAGGCCAAACAGCATCATAGGAGCAGAGCTGCCTTCTTGAACAGCTGCAATCCACACACTGTGGGTTGACCTACAATGTCCTTAGGAGTTCACTTCTCAGATTTTGACCCAGCCACATTGGAGGAACAGTGGTATATTTCCAAGTCAGAATGGTGAGTAGCTTGGAGGGGAACTTGCAGGTGGTAGTCATAAAGATGTACTGCACAGAAACAGACACTTTGGTATAACTTGTCCATGCTGACCAGATATCTTAAATTAATAGTGTTCCATTTGCCAGCATTTGGCCCATATCCCTCTAAACCCTTCCTAATCATATACCCATCCAGATGCCTGATAAATGTTGTAATTGTGCCAGTTTCCAGCACTTCCTCTGGCAGCTCATTCCATGCACACACCACCCTCCGTGAAAACTCTGCCCCTCAGGTCCCTTTTAAATCCTTTCCCTCTCACCTTAAACCTACACCCTCTAGTTTTGGACTCTCCTACCCTGGGGAGAAGACCTTGACTATTCACCCTATCCATGCCCCTCATGACTGTACAGACCTCTACAAGGTGACCACTCAGCCTATGACACTCTAGGCAAAACAGCCCCAGGCTATTTAGCCTCTCCCTATAACTCAAACCCTCTAACCCTGGCAACATCCTTCCTACTTCAATCCTTCTACCCGCTTAAAATCTACATTCTCAATGCCAACCTATTAGTTCTTGAATCCAATTGTTCATACTTGTTTCACCTTGGTTAAGCCTGATTTATGCAATTATAAACCGTGCATTTAGCTCTTCTGAAACTAAAGCTTTTAGTTTAGTTTAATGAGTTATACCCTATGAAGTCACCCGCATTGCTGGCACTACCTATAGCATATTCATAAACTTCCTTTTGCTAACATCCTCTACAGTTTTGTTTTGCCTCAATTAGCAACACAATACCATTTTAAGCTCCAAACTGAATTATCAGCTTATTTAGAAAGGGTATTAGTATGCAATGGACATACAGGACAGCACAACAAATGCACTAGACAAAATAGGCACAACTTTCAAAGCTACACACTGCTCCTTCTACAGTGAATATAGTCTTTTTTATAGCAAAGTCCTCCATTTCACTCTACGACACATTTTCAATATTGTTTTCCTGTCACTCAACCTTTTTCCTTAAAATTCAAACTTATTTCACTCAGTATTCTTGAAAAGGGACTTAACCATTCTTTGATTGGTCTGGAGTCCACAGGGTGATGTAATACAAACAGAGAATGCACATTTGTTCCACCATAATTACTTTAGGATACACAGGAAAGTTGCAAATTGAATTATTTAACAGTAGGGAGATCATTTGGGGCTTTGACCCAATGTCTACTTGCTTAGATATTGTCTCAAATCTGCCTGAAAGTCAAGATAAAATAATTATGACAAGCATCCTAAATCTGTCTGTTCGTCCGCTTTGCATGTGTTGAAAACCACATGCTGGGTCGATCTCTATCTATCTTTAGAGTAACATCATCATAGAAGCCATCAGATTGATGCCCAGGCTTCTCACCAAGGACTAAAATGAAATAAGTGGTGTCCGGCTGTGGTATCTCAAATATTCCGCTGTTTGAACCCTTTAGAGTATTACTTAAATGCCCTCACTTTACCTTAATTAGAAAGTCTCCCAGCTGCAGCTCACTCAAGATCTCATGAACAATTTTCAGACATTCAGCATCAGGAATCATTGGATCATACTGACCAGCAATATCAAAATCCTGAGAAAATAAAGAATTTTTAAGAAAGATTAAAAATGGGACTAGCAGTATAAATAAATTTTGCATTGCAGCACTGGACACTGTATAAGATGATGACAACATACAACAACTGAAAGCAATTGTGGAGCAGGCTCATCGTCCGAATGGCCTAGTCCTGCTCCTAATTCACACACTGGTATGCTAAGTAGCTAATTTGAGCAACTTCACTCAGTGATTGAAACTGTCAGGCGGTCCGATGTCACATGAAACAAAACAGAATCATATGCACGATCTGAGCAGAATAACATACATTAAGATTAACAAATTGTGCATGTTATATCCAAAGTGGATTCCCTGACAGGCAAAAACAAAACAACTCCACAAACTATACATAATCAGACTAAATAAAAAAATTCTGCAAAAGCAGAATAAATCAAATAAAGAGCATCACATTTGTCAATTCCATTTCATTGTCTAAATAGAAGCACGTGTCTGTTAAATTGTCCCTCTCATTATCCCTTCCAATAGTGACTCTCACCCATGGTCTCCCTATCAAAGTGGAGAAACTTGTTTGGGATCCCTGCCATTGACAATACATTCTCAGCAACCCTCAGCCCTAAGCCCCAGTTACACTGGTTAGAAGTGTACACTGTAGAAGCATACTCCCATTGCACCAAATACAGACAAACCAATGATCTCGTGGATCTCCTCAGCTCACATTGCAGAATCCCTCCAATATGAAAACCTGTGTATAAATGGAGCAAACAAGCATTGATGAATATCACTCCTAATCTGGTGCTACCTATACAATGGATTCCTAAGGAGTAACTTTCAACACATTATGCATGCAGCTTTCTGGAAGAGCCACTAACATTCAGCTTTTCCAAAACTATTCCATTTTGCAATTCTAGTAGAACACATTTCCAAAAACATCAGCTGTGCACATACTTACACATTGATAGAACTCCCTGTAGCGACCTCTGGTCATGGCTGGATTATCTCTTCGATATACTTTAGCAATGTGATACCTCTTAATGTTGGTAATTTTATTCATAGCTAAATAACGGGCAAAAGGAACCTGAGAAAAGGTCAAGGATAAATACATAGAATGATAATATCATGACTTGCTGAACAGTTCTACTTGAAGTATTATAATTTTTCAGCTTGTCAGGGAATTGAAATAATTGAGGTTGGTTGGCTCACCGAGCTGGTTTGTTGTTCCGCAGACGTTTCGTTACCCTGCTGGGTAACATCCTCAGTGCAGCCTCCGATGAAGCGTCGGTGTGTTTTCCCGCCTGGTTTTTAAACTCTGGAGTCCGTTGAGCTGGATCGCCTCACTTCCGGTTTTCCTTCGTAGTGGGAGTGTATATGGGGTCAAGTTGTGGGTTTATTGATGGCTTTCTTCTTGGAGTACCAGGCTTCTAGGAATTCCCGTACCTGTCTCTCCTTAGCTTGTCCCAGGATTTTGGTGTTGTCCCAGTCGAATTGGTGGTTCTCCTTATCCATGTGGATTGAGATGAGACAGGCATGGGAATTCCTAGAAGCCTGGTACTCCAAGAAGAAAGCCATCAATAAACACATAGAACTCGACCCCACATACACTCCACTACGAAGGAAAACCGCAAGTGAGGCGATCCAGCTCAACGGACTCCAGAGTTTAAAAACCAGGCGGGAAAACACACCGACGCTTCATCGGAGGCTGCACTGAGGATATTACCCAGCATGGTAACGAAACGTCTGTGGAACAACAAACCAGCTCGGTGAGCCAACCAACCTCAACAGCCACAACCCGAGCTACAAATCTATTCCAAAACCTTAGAATTGAAATAATTAGTTTGCATTTATGCTTGTTTCATGAGTACTGTGTCAAATGCAGAGGTATGATGCCTTGACTGCCAATTGTCCTCCAGCATCTAACATCATTAGCTTATCTTCATTTTGAGCTTTGACAAATGACAAATTTGATGACATTGTAAGTTAATTCAATGGCATTCTGCCTGCTTACCTACATCCCACCTGTGATAACTGCACAAGTCCAATATTAAACACAAAGCGTCAAGTACTTCAGAAAAACCTGTCTGAGCTCTAACCTCAGAACAGCAACCATCACAGAACCGCTGTGAACAGTTTTCCAATTCCTTACACAAGCAATCCGGTGACCTGCAAATGAAGGCACCTAATACTTCTGTGCCATGGGCCCACGCAGATTAGGAAACTAACAGATGTACTCAAGCTCAATTTGCTTTGCTCAATAGATCTCCTTGTATGTAGTTGAACTTGGGCTAACTTCCAGAGATGAAAAATCAGTTGTGATTTTTCTGAGTGCTATCAACTGAGGCAAGATGGTAGCAGGGTAAGTCACTCCATTTGGAGCTCCACTCTGCTCGCCAGTTCTCATTCTCTATTTTTTCCCTCCCTTCTTCTCTCTCCCTCTGCAGTAATTATATTCCCCACCCCCCCAACCCTTTTAACTACCTAACTAAGGGGTCGGGAAGGAGCCAGATCATGACTGGGAACCGTGTGGCAGGAGCTGAACGCACAGGTTGTGTCCTGCAGCTACTGCGGATTGAGTGTGGGCCAGGATGGTGGTGGATCAAGAATGGACCAGTGAGGCAGTCCACAGGGGGACGCTGGCAGCGGCATGGCATGGGCTGGAAAGTCCGGAACAAGACTCTGGTGGAGGCATGACGAGAGCTGGAAAGCCCAGATTGGGACTGTGGCAGTGGAAAGGAAAGTTGGACTCTCAAGTTATCCTCTTAACTTATTCTATGTTAATGTGAATGGCGCCATGTATCTACAGTAAAGGTACACACTTTTCACTGTATTTTTACATTGAATACACATGACAATAAATCATTCAATTCAATTCAGAGTCAAAATTCAAAGGTTCTGAATTCAAAGACTACTCTGGGGTCTGAGTAGAAAAGACAAAGCTGACAATTCAGTGCAGTACCAAGGCAGTGTTACAATATCAGTCATGCGACCTTTTGGACAAGATGTTGAACCAAGGACCCAACTGTCCATTCTGATGAATGCAAAACATCTTGTACTGCTATTTCAGGGTGAGCCAGTTATTTCCAGTGCCCTGGACAACAATTATCCCTCAAACATCACACAAACAGATTATCTAGTTATTATCTGATTTCTCTTAGAAAGATCTTGTTAAGTTTAATTGACTGTCAATTGTCTACCTTACAACTGTTGACAATAATTTGATTGCAATTCACTTGCTGTTAAGTGCTTTGAAACATCTCTACAGTGAGAAACACTATATTTCAACTATGAAGAGAGGCTAAATAGACTAGGGTTTTCTTTTAATAAAGAGTAGAAAAGGCTGAGGGGGGAGCCTGATTGAATCTACAGAATTACGAGGGGCATAGATAAGGTCAATAAGAATAAATGTTTCCTTTAGTAGAAGGGTTCATTACCAAGAAGTATGGATTTAAAGTAAGGCGCAGGAGATTTAAAGTGGGTTCAATGAGAATTGTTTTGCACACAGTATGGTAGGTGTCTGGAGCTTGCTGGGTGAAAGGGTGCTAGAGGGAGGAAGCATTACAATGTTTAAAAAGTATTTAAATGAATACTTAAAACAGGTTAACGAAAAAAGCTATATGGTTTTGGAGTAGATTTGTAGCTCGGGTTGTGGGTGTTGAGGTTGGTTGACTTGCCGAGCTGGTTTGTTGTTCCGTGGAAGTTTCATTACCCTGCTGGGTAACATCATCAGTGCAGCCTCCGATGAAGTGTCAGTGTGTTTTCCTGCCTGGTTTTTAAAGCTACAATAGAGTTGTTTCCTTTGGTCAATTTAGTTCACAGATATATCAAGGATACAGTCAGGTCATAACGCAATGACAACAGCTCGCCACCCTGATCCTTTAAGTCATAAATAAGTTTTGAATCTTCTCCATATTTTCCAGTAAGGGTTTCCTAAAAAAAAACGTGATTTAGCAAAGATAATTCAAAATGATATATTGTCCGGAATAAATTATGAGAATCTTGGGAGTGAAATAAGAATAAATACAACATTTACATGCAATAAATATTAACTTCTGCTGGGATCAACTAAATTTTCAACACTATGAAACAACTGAAATATGACTTTCCTCATTCTCGATTACCTGCTAATTTTTCAGGGCAGATCAGAGGAGAATTATGAATTGTGGCCAATAGGATTTGAACTGTCATAAGACAAATGTAAGCTATGACAGTCCTCTCTCATCAAAACCTCGGAGCTAGCAGCTTGTACGATCTGAACTCTTCACGTTTATTTATTACATACCTCTCTCCACAAAGCCCACTGTCCAATGCACAACATAGATTGACAGAAAAATATTCTCAACTCCTACTTAAGATGCAGTAGTGATGGACTACTCAGGCATACTTTAATCATGTTGCATAATGTGTATCTAGTAGTCAAGCTAATGGTAATTTTGCCCAAAATCATGTATATGGTCCTGCTGCAGTGAAGACAAGTTAAAGAAAACTTCAGCCTACGATGCGCTACAAAGGCAAAGCACTCAACAGGGAAATGCTGTGTTACACCAGACTGCAAAGAATTGTACATTGATGATTTCAATTAAGAGTTCAAATTACATCAAGGCAGTGTTGTGGAATTAAAGTCAGTAGTCAACGGAGACAAAAAAAAAGGCAACCGGGCAAAACTTTGGACAGTTGTAAAAGCCCAAGAACAGCAGAGAAGGAAACCTACCAAACCTACCCTGTCTTCCCTACATTAGAAACCGACATTCATTTCAAGCCCACCGACTCCCACAGAAATTACCCTCTTCCCTACATGAGAACATAGTTAGGTCCCACATGGTTCAATTTCACACCTGCCACACGTGCAACGAATTTAGGCCTCATGACAGATTTTATGTTTCTGAAGTTAAGGTTGAGTAAAAAAAATCTCTTAAGACGTGCCTTACAGACAATGTTCCAGACACCACCATCACCATCCCTAGATATGTCCTGTCTCAGCAGCAGGACAGTCCCAGCAGAGGTGGCGACACAGTGGTATACAGTCAGGAGGGAGTTGCACTGGGAGACCTCAACATTGACTCTGGACCCGATGAAAGCTCATGGCTACAGGTTAAACATAAGCAAGGAAACCTCCTGCTGATTACCACATACCGTCCTCCCTCAGTTGATGAATCGGTACTCCTCCATGGCGAACAACACTTGGAGGAAGCACTAAGGGTGTCAAGGCATGAAATGTACTCGCAAGTGGGGGATTTCAACGTCCCACCAAGAGTGGCTCGGCAGAGCACTACTGATTGAGCTGGTCGGGTCCTAAAGGACACAGCTGCTAAACTGGGTCTGCAAAGGTGGTGAGGGAGCCAACAAGATGGAAAAACATTCTTGACCTCATCCTTACCAATTTGCCAGCTGCAGCTGCATCTATCTATGACAGTATCGGTAAGAGTGATCATCGCACAGTCCTGGTGGAGACGAAGTCTCGCCTTCACATTGAGAACAATGTCCATTGTGTTATGTGGCACTATCACCGTGCTAAATGGGACAGACTTCACACATATCTAGCAACTCAACACTGGACATCCATGAGGCACTGTGGACCATCAACAGCAGCAGAACTGTACTCCAGCACAATCTGTAACCTCATGGCCTGGCATATCCCCCACTCAATCTTTACCATCAAGCCAGGGGATCAACTCTGGTTCAATGAAGAATGCAGGAGGATATACCAGGAATAGCACTAGGCATACTTGAAGATGAGGTGTCAAGCTGGTGAAGCCAAATAGGACTACTTGCACGCCAAACAGCATAAGCAGCAAGTGATAGACAGGGCTAAGCAAGCCCACAACAAACAGATCAGATCTAAGCTCTGCAGTCCTGCCACATCCAGTCGTGAATGGTGGTGGACAATTAAACAACTCACTGGAGGAGGCTCCACAAATATCCCCATTCTCAATGATGGAAGAGCCCAGCACATCAGTGCAAAACATCTTCAGCCAGAAGTGCCGAGTACCTCCTCCAACAGTCCCCAGGATTACAGATAACAGTCTTCAACTAATTTGATTCACTCCACGTGATGTCAAGAAATGGTTGGAGACACTGGATACTGTAAAGGGCATGGGCCCTGACAACATTCGGGCAATAGTACTGAAGACTTGTGCTCCCCTAGCCAAGCTATTCCAGTTTAGTTATAACACTGGTAGCTACCCAACAATGTGGAAAATTGCTCAAAAAATGTCCTGTACATAAAAAGCAGGACAAATCCAACCCAACCAATAACCGCCCCATCAGTCTACTCTCGATCATCGTTGAAGTGATGGAAGATGTCATCAACAGTGCTATCGAGCAGCTCCTGCTCAGTAATGCCCAGTTTGGGTTCCGCCAGGGCCACTCAGCTCCTGACCTCATTACAGCCTTGGTTCAAACATGGACAAAAGAGCTGCATTTGACCAGGTGTGGCATCAAGGAGCCCTAGCAAAACTGGAATCAATGAGTATTGGGGGCAAACTTTCCAGTGGTTGGAGTCTTACCTGACATATAGGAAGATGGTCATGGTTGTTGGAGGTCAATCATCTCAGCTCCAGGACATCTCTGCAGGAGTTCCTCAGGGTAAGTGACCTTGGCCCAATCATCTTCAGCTGCTTCATCAATGTCCTTCCCTCCATCATAAGGTCAGAAGTGGGGATGTTCGCCAATGATTACACAATGTTCAGCACCATTCACAAGTCCTCAGATACTGAAGCAGTCCATGTCCAAATGCAACAACATCTGGACAATATCCAGGCTTGGGCTGACAAATGGCAACTAACATTCGTGCCACACAAATGCCAGGCTATGACCAGCACGAATAACAGACAATCAAACCATCACCCCTTGACATTCAATGGTGTACTCTATTACTGAATTCCCACTATCAACAGGCTGGGGGTTACCATTGACCAGAAACTCAACTGGACTCCCCACAGAAACAGTGACAAGAACAGGTCAGAAGCTAGAAATACTGCAGTAAGTAACTCATCTCCTGACTCCCCAAGCCTGTTCACCATCTACAAGGCACAAGTCAGGACTGGGATGGAATATATCCCACTTGCCTGGATGAGTGCAGCCCCAACAACACTCAAGAAGCTTGACACTATCCAGGACAAAGCAGCCGCTTGATTGGCACCACATCCAAAAGCGTCCACTCCCTTCACCACCGACGCTCAGTAGCACAGTGTGTACTATCTACAAGATGCACTGCAGAAATTCACCAAAGATCCTCAGACAGCACCTTCCAAACCCACGACCACTTCCACCTAGAAGGACAAGGGCAGCAGATGTATGGGAACACCACCACCTTCAAGTTCTCCTCCAAGACACTTACCATCCTGACTTGGAAATATATCGCCGTTCCTTCACTGTCACTAGGTCAACTGGCCAGCCGGCAACCTCCCACAAATGAATAAAAAGAAAGTAGCAATGGTCACAGACCCAGGACTGATTGATTGTTAAGAGGAATAATATCAGGTTTTGCCACAGAGGGCTACACAAAAACCTATTGCATGTTGACTGTTATCTACTAAGAGTTTTCTTATGAAACATTATTACCAACATACCAAACAGCCTTGACAATAACACTGCTCTGTCAGAGATTTTCCTATCCTGCCCAATTCAAATTGGAATAAGTTTCAGGCATTGTACAGGCCCACTGAGGGTCTTACCTTGAGCTCAAACACTGGAGTGTCAATGGTTTCAGCTCCATGGCGTTTAAAGCAGTTAATGATGGTGCTGAAGACTTTTTCACGGATAGCCATTTGCTTTGGGTTATAGTCTCTGGTCCCCTGAAAAATTGAAAACATACATAAAAGAACAAAAAGAAGCACTCCCTTTCTGTGTTACATTGCAATAAAGATGTTAAAATTCAAACCTATTATAATGGGAAGGTCTCATTAGAACTGCAGTGTGTAACGGCTATCACTGATACAAATATCACTTGTGTTGAAGGCAATGATGGTAAATAAACGTAGCTGTCAACTTCAGTCACTTGTCTCTCTAGAGATAAACAGTTGTTTTCAGATCTATTGTGCACGGTTCTGAGTTGCTTAGTATAAGAAGAATATGAGCACGTTGGACAGAGTGCTTAGTGATTTACAGGAATGGTTCCAGGAATGAGAAACTTCACTTACAAAGAAAGAGTGAAGAAGTTGGGACTGTTCTTGTTGGAAAGAAGGCGGCTAAGAGCAAGTCTGATAGTGGTTTTCAAAGTCATTAACAAGTTGGGTGCAGTAGATCAGGAGAAACTGTTCCTGCTTATAAAAGGAACTCGAATGAGAGGACATAGATTTAAAGTGATTTGGAAAAGAAGTAAATGTGATACGAGAAAAAGAATTCACTTCTTCTGCATGTAAGACTTCTGTCATTCTGTGATATCTAGCTGTTCAAAATATCCTGCAATATAATGTGGAGTTCTGCCACTCCCCGAAGCTCTCATTTACAAATACATCAAACATACCTTGGGCGTTTTGAGGACAAACAGTTGTTTTCCATCATTAGTTCCAAGCTGAGCTTTCAATTCCAGCAACTTTGCCAATGCTTCCGTAATCTGAATAAAAAATAATTTTAAAACACTAAAAAAAACAAAAACTTCCTTTCATCCAGTGTACAATTTTAATTTTAAAAAAAACTCAACTATATCAGAAGGACTATTTCAAAGGAGGAGCAGGAAAGTTATTCTCAGTTTCCTGATCCATATTTGTCATTCAATCAAAACCACAAAATCAGATTCTTTATCACACTGGCTATTTGTGGGTGGTCGTTGTGTGAAAGTTGTCTTTCAAAGTTTCCTATATTACAATAGTGACTGCAATTCAAAAGAATGGGGATGTCTTGAAACTCAAGCTATTAATGCAGTTTTTGGTTTCAGGCTGGAAATTGAAAGCTGAGAATTGCTGCATTTTGACAGAAATAAAACTGAAGCAATGTATCTGACACACTCTCCAGAGCTGGGAGTGCAGTTTGAAGATTGTAGATGTTTCAGGGCTACTTATTCCACACCAAGAATTTCCAGAAGCCAAAATACTGAATCAACATGAAAAAATGCAAGAACTGTTCCTGTACTCAATTCCCAGCAGTTTCCAGAGGACAGTATCGAAAATTACAAAACATTGGAACACAACGTCAACTCATGTTGGAAAAACCAGTTAAAAGATATATCAGAATACACACTCAAAACACCTACTTTCTGCATGCCACCAGCATTTCAAAATAGGTATCTGCAGGAATCAGGTTTGCAAGTTTCACTGGTGCAAGTAACTGAAAAGCAACCTTATCCCTAAACTGTAAAAATGGTTACAATGGTCAAGGTACCTTCACAAAGTGGGAGTATCAACAGCAAGTGCTACATGTTATTTGACCATGGGGTTCATGATGAATTGTGGAACCATTAACATACTTTATTACAACTTTGAATTTTCCTCATCTTCTCTCCCAGGAGGAATATGGCTGTGGACAGTGAGGCAAAGAAATTATTTGAGCAATTTGACTTTGTCATTTTGTGGTACTTGTACTCAGTGCTTTGGCTGGCCATTCAGGTATTTTCAAATTAACTTGTTCAGAGTTGTTATTACCTCTGGAGCAGACAGGACTGAAACCTGGGTTTTCAAAGGTTCAAAGGTGGGGACACTACTAACAGCCAGCAGTCGTTCGTTCTCTCTCTCTCTCTCTCTCTCTCTCTCTCTCTTTCTGCCCTTCTGCCTCCATTCAGGTCTTTAACTAAGAAGGCAGGTATCTAAATCTAAAATCCAAAATCTAAAGTCATCATCATTGCTTGACAGTTGGCAAAGTACACTTCGGGAGGATTTATTTTTGTAAAGGTACAGCAAACCTGGGAGAAAGATTCTCAAACGGCAAATTTTAGTCTTGACATATTGCATTTTTTCATGTTGTCTATAATGTCCTCTATTGTTAGCTTAGCGATACCTGCATACATCTAACCCTTCCTTTTGAGCATGCTCCACCAATGGCAACTGTGCCTTCAGCAGCCCAGGCTCCTAGCTCCTATAGTTCCCTCTCTAAACTTCTCTCTCATCCTTAAAATCTAACTCTTGTCCAACTTTTGGCCATCTGCCCTAACATTGGACTAAGTGGCTTCATGTGAAATACTGTCCTATAATACATAAGAACATAAGAAATAGGAGTAGTAGGCCATATGGCCCATCCAGCTTGCTCTGCCATTCAATAATATTATGGCTGATCTTTTCATGGACTCAGCTCCACTTACCTGCCCACTCACCATAACCCTTAATTCCTTTAGTGTTCAAAAATCTATCCTTACCTTAAATACAAATCACTTTAGAACATTTCACTCAAAGATATTATACAAACATAAATTATTATTGTTGCTGAACATCTGAGCACTAATATGTTGGCTAGAAAATTAAGTGCTAAATCCATTTACCTACAAGCTAAACATTTCTTTACTATTTATAAACATCTGTTACAAGTTACGCACCTGTTTATTAGGCAGAGAGCACATCACCCGTGCAGACATGTTGTGATGTCCAATCCCATAGCAGATAAATCCAGACAAGTATTTTGCAGCAATTGTTCCAAATTTGTTCATTTTGGTTCAGGTTCAATGCACAAAAGTAGGTAATATGCACCACAAATCCAGTTTAATTCCAACAATGATCAAAGTCCCAGAAAGTAACGTTAACATTCAAGTCCCATTAAAATTCACCCATTAAAAATGTCCATTCCCGAAGATTCCATCCATAATTCGCCAGGTCCAATAATTAAATAACACAAGGGGAAGGCATTTCCAGATGGACCGTGCATGAAGGAACAGGAGAAAACTGGTCAGCAATTACCACTAACCCAGTGGTACAGGGTGGCAGCAAAGCATGGTGGGAGGAGTAACAATGATAATTAACTAAACCGAACAACAAATTTCAAATCACACAGGTCTGGAAGAACTTCTTGCGAGTCATTGGCTCTTTGTAACCTATTGATGGTTACAACCAAGTATCATGTTACAAAAATCAAAAATCCAACAGCTTACTGCTGACTATTTTGGCAACTAACATAATAATACAAATATCATGAAGTTGATATCTCGATGGCTGTGCAGTGCATAACAAGCAATTATCATTTTCAATTTATAAATATTCCCACCTGGATTTTAATATTAACTAAGGACAAGTTTGCAGACACTTGTACCTGAATACAAATGTTTCACCCACTTTTGGCCTTCATACTTTAAATGTCACAATGCCTCATCAGATTTGTTTTGCAAATGCTTTTATATTTTGGCAAGGTTCTTCTAGTCCTGGTACAGTTGATAAACTCTCCTACCATGATTGTCTTCTGAATGCACATAGCAGAATGCTTTCTAAGACATTCACATGCACATTTGCCCCACTGCTCTCAATCAACACATATTTAGACCTTCTGTATCGTTGACATCATGAGACTATCCACCTGCATTGCCAGCAACTCACCAGCACACCCACATATGCATTTTGAACATGGCAACAGGCATCAGAATTGGTTTCAGCTGTCTCCATGAATACAGCTCTAGGTTGCTGAGTGCTTGTGGATTCTGCCCACCATGGGGTCGGGGTTTCTGGGTTCTGTCCTGCACTGTAGAAGCTGTTCTCAGAGTAGACTATCCCTACCGTACTGTTGTGGGATCTGGACATCACTAACAAGGCCTGCATGTGTTGCCCATTATAACCACCCCTATGGCTTGCTAGGTCATTTCAAAGGGCAGTTCAGAATCAAACACATTGTTGTGGACCTGGAGTCACATGTTGGCCAAACTAGGTAAGGATGGTAGAATTCCTGCCCCACAGGATATTCGGGAACTAGATGGGTTTGTACCAAAGTTCCAGGCGCGTAAAACATTTGCTGCAGGATTAATATCAACCCCAGTTTCGACGCTGCTGAGCTCCATTGTTGTTGAATACCAATCTAGTGTATTTGTGGTCACCGAGACTAGGTTTTAATTCTAGATTTATTAAGCAATTTTAAATTCTGCTATCTGCCATTATTCTGCAAACTGCCTTCATGGCATGTGAATCCATGTCCCCAGATCATTAACCAGGGCCTCTGAGTTACCCCCACATTGCTATTCCACCCCGAACTCTCCCTCTGCAGCTCTGCCTCCACATTATCTAAGATCGACTATTAATATATAGAGTTCTGATCTGTGTATTACAGCTTGAATACAGTTGTTCCATTCCTCCCTTCTCAGTCTTGACTACATGTAGATAAAGCGTGATCTTGAAAACAGTAGACGTCAAGAGTTAATCATCTTGTACATTATCATTAACACACATATTTCCATTGTACAAAGACTGTTACACAGATCTCCATGGGGAACATTAAGCTGGGCTGCAGAATTGCACAATTTCTTATATACCAACAACAGCATATACCCAAGTTAAGAGAATTTCCTTCCAGCTATGATAGTTCAAAGAATGTGGCCATCCACATAAGCCAGACTTTTATATAAAGCTACAGAAATGAAAAAGACATTGATCAACTCAGGTTAAAATGCTGGGTAGCACCTTAGTAGAATTCTGCCATAATAGCAGCAGAAAAGCAGATATGAAGCTGTTGGTTTTGTATTGAAAATTTAATATGAATGATGTAAGGAGTTTTAATTGGTTTAAACTTTTACATTCCAGCATGGTAGCAGGTGGAATTTCAGTTCAGTTGAGGCTGAAATACAAAGCTAGTCTTAGTGATAATGACTGAAAAACAATCATTGATTGTCATTAAAAATCCGTCTGGTTTACTCTGTAAATCTCAATTAATTTGGCCTACATGTGACTCTAACCACATTAATCTCAAGGCTTTTAACTGCCCTCTGCAATGGGTGAGCAAGCCAATCAGTTCAAGGAAATTAGGAATGGGCATCAATTGTTGACCTGGTGAGCAATGGCCCCGTCCCATGAAAGATTTTAAAAAAATGATTTCCTATCCATTGCCTGAGGCAATCTGAGCTAATGTTACATCATCCAGATAAATAGTATCAGGATGAAATGCTGACAAATATACCACAACTTAATGTCATTCTAATGGAGTTTCTGTAAGCTTTTGTGGCATTTTATTAAAAAAAGACTATATTATGTCTAGCAAGCACTGATCAAAATACATGTGGCTCTGCAGAATTAACACAACTATATCAATTCAGCTGAAGTAATTTGCATTTCACCTATAATTCTCATATTCATCATGACAGGAAACATACATTTATCCATTTTTTTGGTTCGTTTATGGGATGTGGGTGTCTAATTACATTGGAGAAGGTGGTACTAGCTTTCTCATTCTGCATTTCAATTCACAGTTCAGTATAAAATGTGCTGCAAAGCTCTTCTTTTCTAACTTATGCTGACACCCAACCACAAACTCCAGGTTCAGCACTTAGAAAACATTCATCTCTTTACACCACAGGCAGTTTCAATAAGCTGCAACACAGGGCAAAATGTTATCCAGCCTGCCCTCTGTAGTTGCCTCCCCTATGTTGTCTTTCCAGTAAGTGTGCCATTAAAGATGCAACAAAAGCAGGCAAGTGAAGTCGGGGTACAGCTCATTCATCACCAAACTGAACAGAACTGCATTCCAACATGGCAACGGCTGTGAATCCCCCTCTTCCCACATGCTATCAGGGATGAGTGGCTGACTGGCATTCGTAATTCATGTTTTCCTGACTTCCTGAGGGACTGAATGACTTATTCCTCTTCCTATCTACTGCATTAGGAAACACTTAAATTGACAGAATATAGAGAGGTAAGTCAGTGCGGCCTCTGTGCACTGTAACTTTAAATTTCATTTCAAGGTAATCCCAACACCTACGCTCGGTTCGCACTTTGCAGAACACCTACGCTCGGTTCGCAATAAACAACTGCACCTCCCAGTCGCGAACCATTTCAACTCCCCCTCCCATTCCTCAGACGACATGTCCATCCTGGGCCTCCTGCAGTGCCACAACGATGCCACCCGAAGGTTGCAGGAACAGCAACTCATATTCGCTTGGGAACCCTGCAGCCCAATGGTATCAATGTGGATTTCACAAGTTTCAAAATCTCCCCTCCCCCTACCGCATCCCAAAACCAGTCCAGCTCGTCCCTGCCTCCCTAACCTGTTCTTCCTCCCACCTATCCCCTCCTCCCACCTCAAGCCGCAGCTCCATCTCCTACCGACTAACCTCATCCCGCCCCCTTGACCTGTCCGTCCTCCCTGGACTGACCTATCCCCTCCCTAACTCCCCACCTACACTCACCTTTACTGGCCCCATCCCCGCCTCTTCGACCTGTTTGTTTCCTCTCCACCTATCCTCTCCTCTATCCATCTTCTATCTGCCTCCCACTCTCTCCCTATTTATTTCAGAACCCCCTTCCCCTCCCCCTTTTCTGATGAAGGGTCTGGGCCCGAAACATCAGCCTCTCTGCTCGGCCTGCTGTGTTCATCCAGCCCTGCACCTTGTTGTCTCGGATTCTCCAGCATCTGCAGTTCCTACTATCTCACATGCAAATTACTGTAAGGTAGAATCAGTTCTGAAAAGTCATTGGACTTGAAACGTTAACTCTGTTTCACTTTCCACAGATCCTGCCACACCTTCTGAGCATCTCAAACACTTTCTATTTCAGATCTCCACCCATCTACAGTATTTTGCTTTCATATCAGCCAATTTTACAAACAAGGAAGTCAGGAAAACTTGAACTGAATTACATAAGTGCCAGTCAGCCACTCATCCATGATGGCACAGGAGAAGAGCGGGAATCACAGCTGTTGCCACGTGGGAATGCAGGCTACTGATCAGGAATGGGAAGGGTTCACTGCCCTGAATGGGACTAGGGCTCGGCCCGTCGTCAGGAACGAGAACGGAGAATGGGAACAGGGCTCGGCCCGTCGTCAGGAACGAGAACGGGAACCGGGAACAGGGC